TATTGTCGGCTAATAGTTGGCCATTGTCAGCTGGTAGTTGGCCATTGTCGGCTGGTAGTTGGCCATTGTCGGCTGGTAGTTGGCCATTGTCGGCTGGTAGTTGGCCATTGTCGGCTGGTAGTTGGCCATTGTCGGCTGGTAGTTGGCCATTGTCGGCTAGTAGTTGGCCATTGTTGGCTAGTAGTCGGCCATTGTCGGCTAGTAGTTGGCCATCGTTTGCTAATAGTCTGCCATTGTCGGCTAATAGTTGGCCCTTTTTTTAGTATTATCAGGGTGATTAATAGTCATCCATATGTTGTCTTAACAGGTTTAGAGTTTAACCTAATTAAATCCTACTTAGCTTAACACTGGTAGGAGAAAAAAAAGAAAATGCTAACACCAAAGACTTTTTAGGCTAATTGTTAGCCTTTGTCAGTATTCTCACTGTGATTACCGTTCATTCATATGTTTTCCAGTAACCACACAGGTTTCAGGTTTAACCTCATTAAACCCTTTTAGCTCAAAGGTATTGTGGAGGATTTTCTCAAATTTTTTAAAAGACCCGTCCTCTTCACTTTAAAAAAATATGCGCGTACGAGAGCATGCACGAGCCCATCTAATTTTTAGCCTTTGTTGGTATTCTCACTGTGATTACCAGTCATTCATATGTTGTCTTAACAGGTTTAGGATTGAGACTTAGCATTCATATGTTATCTTTTTGTTTACAAATATACCAAATAACCAAACTGGTTTAGGGATTAACCTCATTAAACCCTACTTAGCTTAACACCAATAGGAAAAGCAAAAAATATGCTAATTCTAAAGTTTGTTAGGCTAATTGTTAGCTAGTGTATGTTGAAAGAATGAAGAGCTGGTGCAACTGACTTCTGGTCACCCAATAAAGCTAGTTTCTTTTTCCAACCATATGCATCCCTAAACCGATATGGGGTTTACCTCGCTGTTTTGGGTCTTTCTTATGCTGCCATTTTTCTTTTCTTTTGGTTTGGTTTTCTTGTAGTGGATTGTCTGTGTTTTAGTATTAGTAGCAGTAGTTACAGTGTACTGGTCCTTTTGTGACACACAATTTTAATGCCTGGCAAAGTGTCTCATGTTTATTTTACTTTCCTCGTTTTTCTGGAATGAGAATTGCTATCTATTCCTCTCTTTCTAACTCTTTCTCTTTACCTCTACTGGACCTTTATCTCTCCTTCTGTGTCTCTCTGTCTCTCGGTTCCTTCCATCCTTTGGTGCTCTGTTTCTCAACCCACCACATATAATAAGATTTTTCAGGAGAATGGTCACCAAATGTAATTGCTTTATTTGAATGATGCACTTTGGTATATATTTTTATATACATTTTAAACTGTTATTTTTTTCTTGTGTTGCTTGTGTAATCTTATTTTCCCTCTTTTTCATCTTTGTGTGTCCCTGTTTCTGAATACGGACTGGCTCCGTCTCTTTACCCCTCACCTGCATCCCTCACCCCTAACCTACCCGTCTCATCTTTGTCTCGTATGTGTTTGATGTGGGAGTGCTCAGATTGTTTTGATTGGTTTTAATTGTGCATCCAAAGCTTGCTGATTGGCTGAATTTCGTTTTGTTGGTATATTTCAGTTTGTAACTCACTCTGGGTCATGTGATGCACCCGTATATGGCTGTGTGCAACTTTTTTTTTGTTGTTAGATGATTATTAATTTTGTCAAAAAAAAATGTTTTTGCACCCCCTCTTTCTCTCCCTCTCTTTTATATTTCATTTAAACTGCATTTATTCTTTTAGGTACGTAAACCCCACAAGTTTGGTTTCATATGGAAATGTGATTTGATCTTTGTCCGGATCTATCTGCCAGGCTGGACTGGGAGGGCAAAAGTGGGATGAGAAAGGATGAATGTTTTTGATCAATCTCTTTCTTCCATATTGGTCTCTGCTGAATTGCATGTGTTGTCATATCCTGTTTCATTGATTACGCATGACCTAAATACAGTTATTATTGTGTATTGCTTTGCCTTGGGACAGTTTTTATACATTTCTGCATATTGATGAATTACAACCACAAGTTGTGTTTCCTTTTGCTGAATTTAATGTGAAAGACCAACACAAAGTAGCACAAGATTATGATGGTAAAACTTTACTAATCTAAAAAGTAACATGCATTTATATTTGTTTCTTTGCTGCTCTATTTTGCCTCATTAACTCTTAATTTCCAGTCTCTGGGGAGAAAAAGATCCCACAGCAATGGCAGGTTTTACAGATGGTATTTAGCGTTAGATTCTTACCGAGGGAAATATTTTACATATTGCACCTGTTTCCCCGGCTAGAATGCCATGTATATCCAGGGGATTCGGGTTATAAAAAAAAGAAACATGGTCAAAATATTATATTTTTGAAATGATATATTTCTAATGAAACAGTGTCCTCACATACGCCATCCTGCATGTAGAACCAGAAGTTGCTGTGGTGGTAAATGTCTTGTGATAAATTTAAAACAGGACCTCATTCTTTCTTTTCCTCTGCTCCTCTGAAAATGTCTAAATTGGTGTTTCCGTTGCCAGGGAATGAAAATTCACACCTTTCAGATTATATTTTAAAGTCTTGTAAGCCATCTATCATTTTTATTCGGCTTCGTTGTGTGGGTCTATCACATTAAACCCAGATATATAACACAGAGGATATTGGTTGTCATAGAATGAGGGAAAGTTCAAGGGTTGCAACGTATATCCCTATACACAAACTAAACTATAAACAGCTAGCTCAAACTAAACACATTAGGAAGCACCTTCTTAATATCTGTAGACCAAAAATGTAGCTTTATTTTGGATCATTTTAATTAATCTAATTTACATTTTAGAAAATCTTTCTGTACTGTAACATTTAAAACGTGTAATTCAAGCTAGCTAGCCCAGGCTAATTGAATCATTTGCTGCTGACCTTGTCATCTGCAATGAGGGAAAAATGAGGTACACCTCATTTCCATTTGAATGAAATGCTGCAGATAAAGAACATGACTCACCGGGAGAGGCATTGCGAACAGCAGCCGAGGCTTTAATAGTCCCCTAAATTGCAAAGCAGTGTGTGTGCATGCACGATCACTCTCATTCCTCGGCCTGTCTCTAGTGCTCTCCTTCTTTGTCGCATGCAAGCACACCCTCTCTTTGAGTCTTGCCAAAAGGTCATTAATCTTTCGCTTTCTAAACAGTCAAATGTGCAACCTCCGCAGCACTCTCAGACAGGGTGTGTTATTATGTAGAGCTAGTCTCCCTCGCTTAAAGCCCATCAAAGGAATATAAGGATACATCAAGGGACCAAAGTGGAAGCCTTTGAAGCGCAGAGAGGAGATTATCAGCCATCTTGGATTAAAAACAGCAAAAATAATTTGGACTGAAATAACAGCTAGCATCCACAGTACATACACACACCATCAAAGCCCCAATGTGTTCATCTGTGCATGCTGAAAACATAGCTCAGTTTACTATCCTGCGTCACCATCTTACATCTCTGTATATCAAACCACCAAAAATCTCGAGCACAGCTTGCTTTTTGTTGCATGACTGAAATTCCCCTTAATAACCTCCATCCACTTATGCCATCAAACATAAACACAGACACAGAGTTGAGTTGTCACTTTTAAAATATAATTTAACTGCCCTTTGGTGATGTTCTAATCCCACACTGCTGAGACTTTAGGTCAGACAACTGACACAATAATACCCAACTGATTCACAGTCAGGTTTTTTGTTTCTTAAATGAATGATCAACACTTTATCCTTCAAGCTTGATCTTTTCATAAGTCACATGTTGAACCGGCCTAGCTGGTTTGAACTCTGATGGTAAATAGTCACCCCATTAACAAAACAGTTTGGCATAATCTACTCTTATGATAAGCACAGAGCTTCACGGGTGGTACCTTCCTGAACATTTAGCTAGGTGCTCTAATGGTGTCTTAGATGTTTTTTAAAAATCCAGCTTAAAAGGAAACCTAATATTTTCCTGTCAGCACCTGTAATATTAAGGAAACATGCTGAGGGTGGCTGACTTATTAGTTTCTGTAGCAATCTTAAGTTCATATAAACTAGAGATGTACTGATCAGAGATTTTAGGCTTAGTTCTGGTTTATTCCAGTCATTGTTATTTAACTTTCTGACCTATCTCAATAAATGTGAAGAATTAGCAGTTGAAAATAGTTATAAATAAATTGGTTATATATAGGTAGGAAGAAAAAACATAAGACTTCCACACTTTAAACTGTCTTTCCCCAGATAGCATTGTTAGCATCAAAATCTGTGAACAGCAGTCCCTAAACCTATACTACCTCACTTTAACTAAGATTTGGAAAGACTGCTTTAATTTCCAGATCTGAGATAATCCATGACATATAAGCTGAAATCGAAATAACACAGAGCCACTCAGCTGTAAATGTTGAGCCTTCCTGTTATCTGCTGAAAATCTTGCTCTCTTAACGCAATAGTGTATTAAAGCTTTCTTTCCTGAAGCTTCTAAATAATTTTGGAGACGATAGGGAGATGGCTAGCTTTAATATTTCTTCTATAAGAAAAACCTCCATCCATACTTGGGTTTGTTGTGTGTACTGATAGGAAGAAGAAAAAAATCTATATCACTTCAAAATAAGTTATTAATGTTTGCCTATGTTTTTCGATTCTTGAAAATTCCCCAGGTACAGACGTTATGAAGTTTTTCTTAATAAAGTTTGATTAAAATATACCACAACACACCGCCATATCCCCTTCTTTGTATTAGAATGAAGCGCCATAGAGCTAAGATATTAAAATTAGAAAATAGATGTTGATAAAAGCAACCCAACTAGCATCTTTAGTGATGAATTGTTGTAGCACACCAAATGAAACAGTCAAAGGCAGGCTTCATCATTAGCAATATACACATTAATTATGCTTTAGTGTTAAAGCAAACATATACATCAGCCTTGACCCATTTTTGAGTTTGTGTGCTAATTTTCTCTTCCTCTGTTGTCTTTACGCTTGACTGTCTGCTCCTCCCTCCCTCCCAGGTGAATAATGCCACCGCCAGGGTGATGACTAACAAGAAAATCGTCAGCCCTTACCCTAATGGAGAGGCTCTCGGCACGCTGCCCTATGGTAACAACTGCAGTGACGCACACTAACACTGGGCCTGAAAGCCCAAACCAGCACATGGAGAGAGGCAGTTGGACACAAATGCCCACTTTTACATCGCTGCTTACTTGAAATGTTTGTTTACCCATTACACATGATCCCCTTTTAAAACTGCCTGTGGTGTAGCTTTACAGTAATGGCGTAAAGCACGCCATCAACTCAGATGATGCATTTCTTTTAAATGCAAGAAGCTGAATTGCTTAACCAAACTGACAAAGAAGCTGAACTGAAGCAGAATTTTACCACAAATAAAACTGAAACTAGATTTGTGAGATGCAACTTCAACTCGAAGGAAGAAGCAGACTAGCATAAAGTCATAACATTGCAGAGTTAGCTTAAAAAAACAGAAGGGTAAATTGTGGGATGCTAACATGCTTCTCATAGCATGTTGGCTAGAGGTAGCTAATGTTACCTACAACGGTTACATAAAATATCAATCATTTACTAATATGCTACCCATTGTTGCTACCATTATATCGCTTTCTACCAATATCCCTTGAGCTAACCATAGCTAACACTGTATACTATGCAAATTTTTAGAATACTGTCATCAGCTAATATGGTAACATTAGCTAAAATGCTACTAATATCCTTCCAGTTACTTTGCATAATTTAGACTGCAGCTAGCTAAATAGTATGTTAGCATTAATCAGCCTGCTGGTAATAACTTGTTTGCTTACAACAGCCAACATTATTCAACATAAAATACAATCATTTGGTAATATTATTGTATTAGCTGGGCTGCTATTTATGCAAATTAACCAGTAGATGTTAAAAGCTACGTTAGTTGCTTTTCCATTACAGAAATGTGCAAAAACAATGTCGATGTTCTGCTAAATTTTAAAATGCGAAGTCTCACTATTGCGGTATTTCCATTGAATAACGCATGCAATTAAACACGTGATTACGTTTGTTGTTGTGGTAACTCTAATAACATGGCAGCTGTGGATGTGGACACATGAGATATATCCACCTTTCATCCAAAGCCCTAGGGGGCGCCATCATCCTGTAACTACTTCCAGTCTTCTTTGTCTTTTAACAAGGCAGTAAGGTCCAGAACTTTGCAAATCACGTGACACGTGATGTGAAAAACTGTTTTCATTGCTGTTTTGCGAAATGTAAGAATTTCGATATGACCAATAAGCCACCTTATTGAAGGGTAAAAACTTTTGATCAAATAACGTGTTTTTGGAGTTACAGTGTTTACAATTAGCAAATTTATTTTTGTAATTACTATTTGCACAATACCTGATATATAGTCACTTAAATATAGGGTGAATTATTATATGCTGATCTAATGCTACTTTCAAACCGCAAGCAGCACGTTTTAGCGTGAGCAGTGCTTCATTTTTTATGCTTGTAAAAGTTTAGTTCTGACGCACAGCTGAAGCATCTTTACTGCCCTAGCTGTGCAGTTGAAAAGTGGATCTGATGCGCATTGGGTGGAGCTACCCTATCCTTTCTTTCCCTGTAACAATCGTAGCTATATATGCTGTGATCAGTGGGTAACAAACAGTTTTAATGTTTTTAAGTGAAAAAGTCTGGCTGAAAACTTCATCTGTGCACTCAGTTTATGAAGAATACGATCCTGCATTCAATCATTATTTCGCTGTCGGAGCTGCTTAGACCCCCGTACGCCGGCGGTGTGCTGTCGTGAGGAATCCCGTTCAACAGCGGCCTCTGGCCCAGTCGCCTCTTTGCGGTTTTCCACTACTGTTCGCGGCGGCTGGAAGTAAATGTTAGCATTTTTTATGTACGTAATCCAAACTGCAGGCACCAGTATAAAAAATTCGAGCATATTTTGCCGGCAGGTTTCGACAATTTAAGGTAATTTAGGCGTTAATGAACTGTTTCAGAGGAGTGATCACAGCGATTCGCATTAGCAGCGCTGTGTCTGTCTCCCTGCCAGCTCCCCGATTAGTCTCTGTGATTGGTTGATGTGGCATGTTGAGCAGCAAAAGTTCAATTTTTCCAAATCCAGCAGCTGATGCTTCTGAAGCACATGACATGCGTCAGAAGCTCATGATGCGCTTCTTAAGCTGCTCAGACGCGCTGCAGGACCTTTTGCTGCACTAAGATGCACGTCAACCATTGATTTTGCAATAAAACTAGCTGCTTCTGCTGCCTCTGCTGCTTGCGATGTGAACTTAGCATAAGTTTAAACCATATAAATTATCATAAAGCATTGGACTAAATGGTCAATATGTGAAATAAATCATACTGTTTATGTTAAGTAGCTCAATCTTTTTTTTTCTTATTCATTATTTCATTTAATCCAAATTTTCTGTCTAATTATCAGCAGGTTGGAAACTTAGTCCCATGGTGGGAGCTGTGTATGGACCTGAGATCTACGCAGGTAAGGGAGACCCCTTCCTCTCATTGTACTTCTCATCAAAGTGCTTAACTAATTTCACGTTATGCCCTTTCAGTGCCAGGGTTTCCCTACCCAACCGCAGCAGCGGCAGCAGCAGCCACAACAGCTGCAGCAGCTTTCCGCGGTGCCCACCTCAGGGGCCGAGGTCGGCCCGTTTACAGCGCCGTCAGGGCTGCTGTGCCTCAGCCTGCCATCCCTGCCTACCCTGGGTAATGAAAATCTGACTCATCTGTGCCGCTATCTGGGATGTCTTTCTGTTTTAGAAATATTTTTTTTAAATAAACTGTTTTATGCAGTGCTTGACTAAATCTGTTTGCCAAGGTCTCTGTCTGACTCAAGTGCTCATTCAGTCATCACGCTCCACAATTATCCAGGTTCTTTCCAGCCATCCAGTTGGCAGATCTTTCCATCTGTTCACAAGCAATCAAGAGCAGTTCTGCTCTGATTGGATTACACCACAGAGCGTGATTTGAATAAACAGACACCCCAGTCAGCAGATTTGCATAAGCACACACAAAGCATATTTAGTGACAGTACAAACGCAGTCACACAGGTTTGCTGCTCCTGAACCAGTAGTGCCTCATTCTGTTTTCTGTAAACTGTGCATGTCATTGTGCTGTGATGATGGGCTAATGGGGTTGCGGCTGCATTTACACTATGATCAAAGCAGATTTCAATGATTTATGTTTTACTATGATATGATTAAACTGAATTTGGGGCGATGAAATTTGGAGGATGCAGGAAATACTCTCTCCAAATCGGCTCCACCTTCAGTCATCATTCCCTGGAAAGTGACCCGAACAAAGCAGCTCTCTATAGCTTTGGTTTTCTTGTAGCAGTGGAACAGTCACGCTTTACGGTCACATGTAAAATCATTTCATATATTAGCCCTGGCAGTGGGATGTTATTAGTTTCCAGCTGCATTCGTGGAGCTCAAATGGAAGTTGTATTTCCTCTGCATGCTGCATGGGTGTGAAATAACACTTTTTCTCTGTTTTTCTCCTCTCTCTCTTCCCCCCTCTTTTTTATGCTGTGTTTTTTGATCCTCATCCACCTTGGGTTTTTTTTTTGGGACTGTGCACTACTCCGTTTGCACCCCTCCCCTCCCTCCACCACACCCTCCCTCCTGTACCTTCTCCCTACATCTGCCATGTTCCCCCCCTGTTCTCAGGGTGGTGTATCAGGATGGGTTTTACGGAGCTGCAGACTTATATGTAAGTAAATTCACTTCCAAACAACACGTCATCTCTGTCCCTACCCTCACGGCCTTCTCTCTGCTCTGTGTGTTGTTTTTTCTGTCCCTCTGGGGGTGATTCTGCATGTGCATCCAGTCATGCGCGCACAGAGCTGCCTGTATCATGGTGGAATTGATGAAATGTGTCACAAATTTTCACAACATGCAAGATGAATCATGCCCATGGGCTTTTTGTTGGTTGAAGTAAAAATAGTGGAACAAACGGATCTGTCTGGGTTTAAAAATATTACCAGATGAGTAAATAAAGAACGTCTTGATTATAGGATGCAGGATCTGAAACTCCACTACAAAGGCTGCTTTGTGGGTGGATGCTGCAGTGTGCATCAGTGTTTGAGAGTGTGGCTGTGCGAGTGTGTGTGTATCCAGGTTGACAACGGCTGTTTCTGTTCTCTCTATAGACTAGTGTTACAGGACTCAGTCCTTAGTCCCAGATTGCCTCAGGTAGGGTCACCTCACCATCGAACCTACAGTGTGCATTGTTTGACTTTTACTACCTGCTCTGATCTTAAGAATCATCCTCTGATCTGATCTGGAACATGTCGTCTTTTAGTTGAGAAATTGTCTTGGAGTTTGCTTTATTTTTCTACTAACTCACTGAATCCTTCAAGTTGTGGAAAAGGGGGGAAATGTTTGTTTGTTGACTAAACCACTACTAAAAACGATTGCACATACTCTTCCTCTCAGTAGATTCAAAAGAGAAGCTGGTCTCTCTTCTCTGTTTGGCTGTTCTGCAAGTAAAATTAGATATAAGCAATTTGTTTCCTTGCTGGCGGAGAAAAGATTAAATCCTGCATTTATGGTCCGGAGGTTTGAGTTGCAATATTTGCATTTGACTCTGAGAGCTGGTCTCATGTTTAGAATGCACCAAATTAAAATCAGTTTTTATTGCAGTCAAAAAAGCATTTAATTTGAGTTGATCATATCAGCCATAAAGAAAGACAAAATATTTTTACAGAAAACTATTTTGACATAATTACCAGGTGCAAAGTTATTGGTTCCCCCTGCTGTTACATTTAGTATCAGAGCTCTTCTCCTAAAGCATCAGTGATTTTTTTTTTTTTTTCTTTTGCACCATCTCCAGATCATCAGAAGTCCTGCTTGATTTCGCTTTTTTAAAATATTCCTTGCTGATTTGAGCACATTTCCTTTATCATTTTCCAGTTAAAGGACTCTGTGACGATTTACTTTAAACCTACTGGGAGAATCGAAATACATTTATATATAACCTCAGGTATTCTACAATGGTTTTATATTACCAACTAGTGCTTAAATGATTCATCAGATTAATGTGAATTAATCAGTTATTGACAAAATCATCGATTTAGTTAGTTATTAATTCATTGTTAACTGGAGATATACAAACTAAAACATACTGTAAGCTTAAAGACTTAACCATTAAGACCAGTAATTATGGCAAATTTATAAAAATATATAAATACTTTGCATTTAAACTGAAAAGCCATTTTTTTTGTCCTCTAATAAGCTCTAAGAAGAACTTCATAAGAGGCAATGTTTTAGTTTAGCTTGGTTTAAATTCTGTATTATTTGTTCTTCATGGCAGGTTTTGTTCTCCAATTATTAATCAAATAATCAGAAAACGAATCAGCAGATAAATTAATTGTTAGTTGAAGCCCTAGTTAGAATGTTAAGCTTCCCTGGATCTTATAAAGAGGAAGAGTCCCGCAGCATTAAGGATCCTCCACTTTACTAAACCATGGATATTAAGTGTTTTTTCCCCCCTACACATTTATTCTTTGTTGCCTTAAAGCCAAATCTCAGTTCTGTCCAGTCGAGGCTCCCAGTTGCAGTCAAAACACCAGAAAAACTCCACAGAAAATCCTAAATAAACAAAAGACGGTCTTAAAGTTTTTATAAAGACCTGGTCTCTGTACTGTGAACCTTAGAAATTTTTATTGCCATTACAATCCTGCTCACTGTGAGCGATGCATTGATAAATATGGGTCATGGTCCTTTCTGCTGCCTCTGTGCCACATTTATTTTACCTGCTGAGGAAACACTAAGCTAAATATTAGAAACAACTGACCAACTTTATCCAGGAAAACATAAATAAAAAAAAAAAAATTTTCTTTCATATGGATTATTCTCAGGTACCAATGATGAGACTAGAATTATTTCTCATTTATAAAATGTTTTTGCTCCTCTTTAAATAAATAGGCTCTAGTTAAGATGTTGCTACTGCAATAAACAATTTTTTTGGGGTTTTTTTTCCCTTCAAATCTTTGCCATAATTCCTAAGTGTGGCTACATACGTAGATCCAGCTGTATATGTCTGACATCTCCATTCTTACTGTCTTGACTTTATTATAAATTGAAGTGTTCGATCTGATTTTAATAATATCTGAACCGTTAAAACATCTGGTTTCATTGCAGACAACTAAAAATCTAAAAAAAACTCTGCAATATGCCACCTGTCCCTTTAAGAAAAGTCTCAAACAATCTAAACCGTTTTAGTTCTATTAAAACATTTAAACCGGTGCCTGATCATTGCTTAGTGACACGCAGTCAGCAATAACGGGTATTTTCTGTCAAATTGAACGTTTATATCACTCTGCTTTATAATTTGGTGAGATTGATTTAGAATTGGAGCAAATGAAAGGTTTAGAGACGACCTGACTGACTGCTGCAAACCAATGCAGGCAACAACAAAAACTCTGAATAATTTTCCTGATTAAAGGAGAAATATGTGTCTGATGTTTAGCGTTATAGCCAATCTTTAGCCGGGTTTACATTAAAGACATGTTGCTGATTTGAAGCATTAAAAACAAAACACGTCTCATCCAGACGCAGTTTTTCTGCAAGAATTTGATCTCTTCATCAGCGTGAAATGGAGACTCAACCCCTCATGTTAATAGCTAATAGTTGAGGCATGTGCTGATCAGCTGCTCCATGCAGGCTAACTACCACACGGCAGCCCCCCCCATCCATGAATAACCCCCCTTGCCTCTGCTGCCGCTTCATCTCCTGCAGGAAGCTGAGAAAAATCTCAGATTTCTGCTTTTTGGCTGCTCTGATCTCACATTCACGTCAGGTTCAAATGCAGTGGGGTGTTTGTTTTGTTGTTGTTGTTGTTGAGGTCTGAATTGTAATTCTGGGTCATGCATGGAGTCTCTGAGCAAAGAGGTGATTTTGGTGTCTGTCTGGGCTTGTGTGAGTGTGTCTGACTTTGGTTTCCAGCTTTTAATCCTTTTTTATGTCTTAAGTTCACCAACAGTATTTGTAACATCGGTCTGATCAACATTTTCATCCCTGTGATGTTTAGCTTACTCTTTTTTTTTTTTTTTTTTTTTTTTGAGTTTCCTTTGTTCCCGGCGCTGTTTGGCATTCTCTCTTCCACTTCTTTCCCTCCCTCTTCCCTTTAGTTACTCTACAGTAATTCTGACACTCCAATGTCCTCTGTCTCCTCTTCTGTCTCACACTGAGCCATTGTGCTTTTTATTTATTTCATTTATGACATTTCTAGCATTACAATACAGCTTTTATATAATAAAATGGAAACCTTTTTTTAAACTTTGCTAAATATAGATTGGTCCTAAGTATTTAATCAGTCACTGCAGCTGTTTCCTCCCTGAAGCCGTGCCAGTTAGTTGTCTGTGGGTGTGTGTGTCTCCAGGGAGGCTATCCTGCTGCTGCCGCCGCGGCCGCCGCTGCATATCGCTACGCCCAGCCTGCTGCCGTAACCGGGGCAACCGCCGCCGCTGCCGCCTACAGTGACAGGTGAGACGTTTATATAAATGCATCACTAAAGATGAGGCCTGCTTGATCCTGAATAAAAATTAGCCGTTCTAACCTTGTTTTCTGCTGTTTTGTTTTTAGTTATGGCCGGGTTTACACTACAGATCCGTACCACGCTTTAACTCCAGCTGCTGCCGCGTACGGAGTGGGAGCCATGGTAAGAAGTCTGATCCTGGGATGGTTGCCTTATCATCTTGAAGCGTTTCAACACATCGCCAAACTGTATTCATACTGAATTGATACTGTCTCACAGAATACTGACACCTGCTGGACATTTAAAGCCACTACAGGCAGCTGATTTGACTAAACTTATTTGATTTGATGACCTAGTAAAATTATATAATTTAAGTTATTGTAGGGTATATTGTATGTCTATATTTAGATTAAAAACATATCTTTGATATTTTTAGATGCAGCCAATAAATAATGTAAACATATAACGTAACAATTTAGGGGAAAATGTGAATGAGGATGCTTGTGGACTAAGATATTTAAATCATATTTTTAAAACAATAAGTACAGAAAAAAAACAGTAAGTAAAAAAAGAGTCAATTTGAAATTAACTTAAATTCAGATGAGTTGAGTGATAATTAAGAGGAAAAGTATGACACAATGAGAAAATTAAAATAAAATCGTAACGGCTGAAACCTTCCTGTGCCTTTTAGGCTGCCCCAAAATTCTTGATCATTTTAATGATAAATTGCAAAAGATTAGCCTTTTTTTTTTTTTTAGAAGATGCATCATGTTAAAATTTACGTTTTTAACCACAGTTTAGTCTGTCAGTCAGTTTGAAACAACTTCTGTATCAGTCACATGACGTTCTTGAAACGATACAGTGTTTAGCCCTATGGGCTCCACGCATCCACCGACCCATCGGCGTTGTTGGACCCATCACTAGTCAGTAGAGATAATAGAGAATCTGGTTTTAGGCCAATTTTTAATTAGGGAATTTTATGACCAGCTGGCACCTTGTTTTTTATTTTTATGTTATTATCCTGCCATTATTATATATATTTTTTTTTTGGTTAATATCACCATCAGAGACGACGTCACGCCTTGTATGCAGCAGCCTTAAAAACACCTAAATTAGAGTTCTGCTTTTCTTTCTTTAACATCGTTTGTTAGCATTGTTAGCACAGTTAGCCTCCGCTAACAAGTGTTAATTGGAGAATGTTGATCCATACTTTTAACCACTAGATTTTTAAGGTGTAAAAAAGTTTTGATAATACAGCATATTCCATAAAATTAAAAAAGAAATTATAAAAAGTTAACTTGTTGTGATTCATTCAGCCTATTATATCAGCCACATCCTGCTTCTGGTCATTTTGCTCCTTGCTGGACATAAATCCTGTGGAGGACGGCTCTTTTTCAGCCACAACAAGACAAAAGGACCAGAACCTGCTAAATCTCTGCTCTGTGTCATCTGATAAAACTGCTTTATTCAGTTTTATTGGCTTCTAATGCTCAATATATTCAACTATTGGTCGCCTGTCTTCTATTACAGTTTCCTCTCTGCGGGGAAAAAAACTCTTCAGTAATCATGAGAAAACAAACTTTGACCTTGTTTAATTTAGGAACCGTCGCTCACTGATTGAGCTAAATTAATTTATACTGTTAGATTTTCTATTAGAGTCTGGATTAGACCGAATAAAAAGTTTTGGTCTATCCTAAAATTCAGATTTTCTGAAGATTACTTTTATTTTTAGTTTTCTAAACACAACTTTGTTTTTTAGTCCAAATGAATTCTAGCTCCTGTCAGAAAATTAAAGGCAGGAATATTTCACCTATTATTGTTTCAGTTCAGACTTTTTTACTTGTTTTACTGGGTTTAAAACCAGATCAAATCCTTTTGATCTCAATACATGTTGAATCTCATATAAAACATTCAAATATTCTTTAGTAAAATTAGGGAATCACTGATAACAATGATTTAAAAAACTGGTATCTACTCTTTTTCTCAAAATACTACAGGTTTGAACCTAAGTTTGTCTAAATGCCAAATAAAAATTGATGGAAGAATGTGGCTCAGGGATTAAATTGTGAAAGGTGGGTTCCTTCTGCGCCATGCTTGGTTCTGCTGGCGTCAGTCGCTTGTTATTCCGGCCCACTCCTGCCCCTCTGTGGGACGTTTAGATTTTCCAACTCTAGACACTTTTTTTCCCCTTTAATTCACTCTTAAATGTGCGTTTACATGTAAATTGCTTGCTGTGAGCGCACCTTGAAACGCACCACTCTAAATATATATATATATTTTCAATGTCTAATTTCCTAATCTCCTTCTCTCCCCTTTGTCTTTCAGGCTAGTTTATACCGAGCGGGATACAGCAGGTTTGCTCCATACTAAAGCCACAAAACCCATCCAAGGAATTCCACTTTGCTCCAAAGCTCCCTCTGAAGCTCTGTGTTTTGGCAGGAGCCTCCCCTCCATTTTATCTGCAGGCAGACTATAATAGTGACAGCACTCTTCTTACTTCCCCCTCTCGTTCTTTTCGTGGTCGTCGCCAGGTCACCAAAACCAAACTCTCTCCTTCTCTCTCCTTCTTTTCTGTCGCCGACATGGAATCAGTTGGAGGAACAAAAATCAAGTAAATAAAAACTGTGATAAGCATCTCCCAAGTATGAAGCTGGATGATTTGAACTCCAGAACAGGACTTTGGACTGTTAAGAAAAAAAAAAAAAAAACACACAATGGGACTCAGGCGGAGAGGGACCTCGGTTCCGGAGCGACCCAACACACTACAATCCCTTTTTTCCCTCCCGATGAGCTGCCCCGTAAGACCCAACCCGACTACGTTGAGAACCAAGTATCCCGTTTTCTCTCACAGTGTTGGACTGAACTGAAAGGCTGAACTGCCGCAGCACTAATGTAAAAAAAAAAAAAAAAGGTACTTTTGTTTTTAAACACTACATTGACATTTAAACGGAGCATAGAGCCGCTGCAGTCGTCTTTCTGGCTACAATAACAAACCTACAATAACGATCTACAGAAAAAGAAATGGATGAAACCAAGTACTTGATTCAGGAGATATAGGATTTTTATTATGTTCTTCATTTCAATGATGAAAACCACTGCTTTGTACTATAACCCACTGCATTTCTTTATTTTCATTCATTTTGTTAAAGAACCCCCCAAAAAGACAACAACAAAAAACCTAAGATCATCAGTTCTCCAAAACGTTTGAAAGTGACAAGGAAAGATCATTTTTCTGCATTACCTCAGTTTAACAGCCATTTATAAGAAGCTAAATGGAAAAAAAAAAAAAAAAGATTGTTTTCCTTTTAAAAAGTTTAGCTCCTCCCCTCCTGATGAACTTATAATTTCCCCCTTCGGATCTTGTACGTTTTCGTTAACCTGGACCGTCGGGACATTCCAGCTCCGGCGAGGGAGCGGATCGGATCAACTAAAAGGAAAAAGGATTCAGCCAATCAGGAGCAGCCAATGAGTTCAGCAGAACCATCCTGCAGCATGTAGACGTCACAGTTATATGATGAAGTTTAAAAAAAAAAATAGATTTCATCACCAGGTTTCTGTAGTTTCAAAGCTCCTCATCTTGTTTTAAGTTTTACTTCCGGTGACTCTGAAGGCGTCATAAAAGAAAAATGACTGACCCCCCCCCCAAACCCATGCTGAATCTATCTACATTACTGCTAGTATTTGCCTATTGCTTTTGCAGTTCCAAAGATTTTCTTTTCTTGTGGGGTCCTCTTGTATTTCTTTAATTTTTGTTTTATTTTGCAATATTTCACCATGTGAGTTAAGGGGAAATGTCATCAAAGCAACAACTAAAATAGCAGAAGAAGTGATTTATACATACAGGAATTGAACCTTAATTTATTGAGGCTTCTGTATTTTTTGTCTTTCTTGCACTTAAACGCAGCGTAGACGTGCAGGCAAAGGAAGCGGGAGCAGAAAGGTGGGTAGAAATGAGAGGATGCAGGGTCCAACGCTGTCCACCGTTTTTTTTTTTTTTTTTTTTTTTTTAGAGAATGATGAAACAGCATGAGGGGCGGTGAAGGTGAGAAACGGGACCCATTAATCATCAGCTGACAGAAAAACACAGTCTCCTTCCCACCACCCCCTCCGGCTGTCTTTTATAGGGTACGGCACGCTCAGGGTGGAAAGGACCAGCATGATGAAGGGTGTGCCATTTGTTTGGCTTTTCTTTTTTTTTTCTTCGTATGATGGTGAACAGTGTGCAGTAGGTCCAATTAGTATTTTTTGACAAGCATTACCTCTGTTATTTTATTGTTTTGTCTTACTGTTCCTTATGAGTATTATCTGAAGTGTTGCTATGCATGCTCTTGCGAGGGAGGAAGGGTGTCAGTCTTTCTGTTTTTTTTTTGTTTTTTTATTTGTGCATGAATTCAAATCCTAGTGCTGGAGGAGGACAGGAGTGTTTACGGTGCAGGAGGAGCGGAGAGCTTTTGCGATGTGATGCAGGGCGACGGGAATGTTAGGGAACGTCCAGCGTTAAGTGTTTAAGGAGGAGCTGGAGATGCTCGTTCAGGCCTCAGATATGGCGGTAAACTCCAGGCGCTTGTTGGATGGCGTTAGATTCGGTTTCAACTCATTCGAGGCAGTTAATGTAGCAGCTGTATGATTGCTTAGAGGGCAGTGGGGGCGACGCATTCGCCCGTTCTCATATCTGCTTATTGAGGCAAATTGTTTTCGGGAATCCAGCAAAAGAAATAAAGAGAAAAGAAAAAGGACAAATCGAGGAGATGGAAAAACTCAGAAGCAAAAGTTCTCCTATCCAGCCAGCCAGTCCAGTGGGAGTCTGTGTACAGCAGTAAATGAATGGGTTTGAATTGCATGTGAAGGTTTCTTTTCTATTTCACATGCTCTTAAAAGCTCATTTATCCAAGTGATTTTATTTTTAAATAAGTGAAAATAAATAAGTGTATTTTTTCTCTTGTTTTATTTTTCCATCCTTGTGTCTGCCTTCTGTTTATTCTCTCCATTATTATTGAATGTATATAATAAATAAACTGTTTGGTTTTTATTCTGGTCTTTGAGAGCTTTCTTATCTCCACCGGTTGTTCAAGCGTTTATATATATTTATATGACCGACAAAATAGCTCATTACTTTGAAGCACGATGGAAAAGTGTTTTCTCCTGAAATCCTTAGTGAAGTTTTTCAGCCACTTTTACTTTGGTATCTCTGAATGAATTGGAGGAGCTGCAGAGAACCATGGCTCAGGTGGTAAAAGATGTCGACAGGACAGCAGTTATCCCTTTCAGATTGACCGTTTGACCAACTTGGTTACTAAAAGGCTGGCATCCTGCGATATGTCAAGCTGATCCATTTCTTTGTGTTTCCTCATCAGCATATTAAGTAGTTCAGAGGCCTGAGAATAAGCTGTAATTTGACGGGGGGGGGGTCAAACCAACAGGATAGAAAAGATGCTGGATATCAGTCCTAGAGGAAGAACTTTGGAAATCTGGCTTAATTCACAGCTTATTCATCTCTTAGACCAGTCTAGTCAAAGTAAAAACCTAAATCCAACAATCAATCTCGAAGGACTTCGGAAATCTGGTTTAATTCCAGCCTTATTCATCTCCTGGACTTGCCTAGTCAATGTGAAATCTTAAATCCAACCAACAATCTCGAAGAACTTCGGAAATCTGGTTTAATTCGCAGTTTATTCATCTGTTAGACTGGCCTAGTCAAAGTAAAAACCTAAATCCAGCCAACAATCTCAAAAGAGCTTCGGAAATCACGCTTAATTCCCAGCTTATTCATCTGTTAGACCGGCCTAGTCAAAGTAAAAACTTCAATCCAACCAACAATCTCTAAACACTTCGGAAATCTGGCTTAATTTACAGCTTATTCATCTGTTGGACTGGCCTAGTCAAAGTAAAAACCTAAATCCAGCCAACAATCTCAAAAGAGCTTCGGGAATCACGCTTAATTCCCAGCGTATTCATCTGTTAGACTGGCCTAGTCAAAGTAAAAACCTAAATCCAACCAACAATCTCGAAGAACTTCGGAAATCTGGTTTAATTCCCAGCTTATTCATCTGTTAGACTGGCCTAGTCAAAGTAAAAACCTAAATCCAGCCAACAATCTCAAAAGAGCTTCGGAAATCACGCTTAATTCCCAGCGTATTCATCTGTTAGACTGGCCTAGTCAAAGTAAAAACCTAAATCCAACCAACAATCTCGAAGAACTTCGTAAATCTGGTTTAATTCCCAGCGTATTCATCTGTTAGACTGGCCTAGTCAAAGTAAAAACCTAAATCCAACCAACAATCTCGAAGAACTTCGGAAATCTGGTTTAATTCCCAGCTTATTCATCTGTTAGACCGGCCTAGTCAAAGTAAAAACTTCAATCCAACCAACAATCTCTAAAAACTTCGGAAATCTGGCTTAATTTACAGCTTATTCATCTCTTGGACTGGCCTAGTCAAAGTAAAAACCTAACTCCAACCAGCAACCTCTAAGTTAAAAAAGTGGAGGTTCAGACCTTATCTCTTTAACTGACAGAGTTTAAGATTTCAACCTCTCTAGGTTCATTGCTGGTAGAGACATCCTGTGCCTTTCAGATGAATGTGAAGTAACAGCGAGGATCCTTTTATTTTAAAAGCTTGCAAAAGATAAAAAAGTTTTGGTTAAACTTGATTTAATCAGACTGCAGCAACATTCTAATAAACAACTTCAGGAGCTGTTGCAGAGTGTTCCTCCTCAGTGGGGGCATCAGCTCTTCCAAGACCAGATGATTGATGGCTGCAGCAATTGCACTCGATTACAGCGGCTCGGCTGGCTTGGCTTACCCCCCCCACTTCCACCTCTGCTCCCCCAGATCAAAATCCTCTATGCGATAAGCTGCTCCAACCACCTCCAGACTTTTTTCATCGCTGCCAGGGGGGGGGGGGGGGGGGGACAACCTGGAACCAGCTTTAATTGCATGTGGAGCTAATGGCTGTAAATGGGTTGGATGTGGCGGGAAACCTCATATCCCTGCTAATTGCTCCAATGCATGAGGGGCCAATTGCCAATTTGATGGCACGTGCTTTTTTTGAGTAATTGAAGTTGGGGATAATTGGAAGAAAAGATTGAAGAGTAACCAATAAAGGGGGCGAGGGACTCATTTTCTAAAGGTTAGAAGCGGATTTCTGTGGACGTTACATCGCTACAGATCTCAGTGGAGGAGAAATGATCTAATTTATATAACTCTGGTTGTTGCTTTAGTTGGAATCTATGATTGTGTTTTCTATCCCAATAATGGGATAACTGCAACGTAATATCTTGTGTCAATCCTGGTTTCTCAGTCATTTGAAATGTCCTTATGTCGCCCTCTGGTGGCTGAGCTATGACACTTTCTCTCATTGAGGCAAATACTGAAGTACTGAGAGAGATTGGCTTCAAGGGATCCTCACAGGTGTGTCAGTGTTTCTCTTTAGTCCAATCCAAGAGATTATACTGATTGCTTTATTTAAAGTCTTTCTGATCATTTTAATTGGTTCACAGCTAATGAAAACAGTTTCTTTGAAAATATCAATGTTACAAAAGATAAAGTCTGGATGAAGAAATGTCCTGCTGGAAGGTTGTCCATGATCAGTTCACGGCTGAGGCCTCCTCTATGAATTACTGCATCAATGAAAGGTTGCAGGGGCTTTTTTTTTGTAATTGTTACCTGTTCTGTTTAGAAATTCAATCAGCATCTTCATAAACTTTGTCAGCAGAGGGATGGATTGGTTTTCTGAATGTCCTGTTGGACGACTTAAAAAATGCCATGGACCAACACCAGCAGATGACATGGTTCCAGTCTTCACTCGCCAAGGAAACTCTTAGGATCCATCCATCCATCCATCCATCCATCCATCCATCCATCCATCCATCCATCCATCCACTCATCCAGGGTCAGGTAACAGTGGTAGCAGCTTCGGTAGGGAGACCCAGATGTCCCTCTCCCCAGCCACTTTGGCCAGCTCCTCCGGAGGAATCCCAAAGCTTTCCTAGGCCAGTTAAGAAACATAGTCCCTCCAGCGTGTCCTGGGTCTCCTGGTGGGACATGCTCTGAACACCTCACCAGGAGACATCCTAACCAGATGCCTTTGCCACCTCAACTGGCTCCTCTCGACGTGGAGGAGCAGTTGCTCTACTCCGAGTCCTCCCAGGATGACTGAGCTTCTCACCCTATCTCTAAGGGAGAGCCCAGACACACTATGGAGAAATCTCCTTTCGGCTGCTTACATCCGGGACCTCATTCTTTCAACCATGACCCAAAGCTCATGACCATGGATGACAGTATGAAGCTGCAGTCCATCGCCTGCAAATCCTTCAACAGATTTTGCTCCCCAATCTAACCAAGATGGCTGTTTTTGCATCTTTCCATTCAACTTTTCGTGCCACGCCTTTTTCCCCTCTAGTTAGGACACTGAACAACCCCATTAGCAGTAACCTTTCTTGACAAGGTTGAATGTCTATTAAACTCACTGCTGTCCTTCCAGTGGTTTTTATATCAGTGTTTTAAAAAATAAACAAACAATATGTAATTATTTACTTAAACATTTAAATTTGTTCTTTTCTTTAGTTGGCATGTAATTAAAATGTATTTAATGATTATTGAGAGAGCAAAACTGAGTCTTTGCAGAACTTTTTATTTACAAAATATTTCATATTTAAAGATTGCATCTTATAAGGTATATCATCCTTCCATGTACTCTTAATTTACCTCTTTCAGCGACAACAGCAGAACCCCTAAACTGTAAATCTCAACAAGGGGACGTAAAGCAGAGCTGACACATCTGCCGTCCTGTCCTCCTCCTGTCTCACCTCATCTCATCCTGTCAGATCCCCCTCCATGTTTCATCTCTTCCTGACGTCTCCTGCTATCCTCAGCAGTTTGGCACCTCAGCAGAGACGGTTTCACGCCTCTCTTATCACCTCTGGGCTTTCCTATACATCTCTGATCACTGCCGAGCATGCACGCACACAAAAGCACACATCTGATCCCTATTTTGCTTCCAAAAGCAGAGGAGTTTTACAATTTACATCACCAAAACAACATATTTACATTTACACATATCAACGTCCATGACCTTTGGCTTTGCTGTAGATTTCTTTTGTGTGCTTTTTTTTTTTTAGCTATGATGCTTCATTGTTGTGCATAATGTTCATCATAGGGTTGATTGAAGTTAGTGGTCTGAGGGCGAGGAATGGTGTAGTCCTTGTTGGGGTCGATTTCCTGAAAGACAGGCAACCTCTGGGTAAACAGTGTTTTCATTATGTTTATTACTTTGCTCAGTAGCTGTAATAATCTGCAGAGGGAGGAACTGTGGAGGATGTTTGATAAAAGCTCACCGTCAAGGAGAAGCCAGACTCGTAGGGGGATCGCAGCGCTGGCTCAGCTCTCCTGCCTGAGGGGGAGACATGATGCAGTTTGGGAAGAATCAGGTCAGCGTTTGCAGTTCATCATTGGCAGAAACAGTCAAACCTGACCTGAATCAAACTTTGCTCCATTTCTCTTACTTTTATTGGTAAATACATGTATTTCCTGCAGTCATTTATGTGCTATATTGACTGCAAAATAACCCTTTTCTTTTAGTGTTTCTAGAAAACATCCTTAAATCAGAAATGCTTTCACAGATTGGGGAATTTCTAAACAGGGCTATAACTGGCTGAGGACTGAAAACTACTTTTTCCCTCAGCAGGTCTGAATGAGTTCCAATAAATAAACCAGTTATTCTGTCAACCTCTGAATTAATCACAGCTCTGGAAGATTTATTGGTTCAAGTTATTTCATTTTGTCAGCTTGTTTCTGTTAGAACAGAATGCTATTGCAAGTTTTAGTCACAGTAAACCCCTTATATGTTTAAAGGTGGTTTTAAACCCATGGAAATCAAAATGATCAAAAGGACACAGAAATCTGGGAGGATTTGCATAATTTTAACAAATTAACAGCAAACTAAGAAGATAATCACTTCATGTATCTTGCTTAGCTCAGGCTGTGGAGGCGGGACTGAAGATTAATCATATGTAGCTCCTACCTTAAAGTTTACAGAATATCAGCTGATTTAATTACAACAAAAATGTTTTGCTTATTGTGTTTTCCTCATTTATCAGATTCTATTCAATTCAGTTTATTTATATAGCATTAATTCACAACAGGTCATCTCAAGGCAGTTTACAGTTCAACCAGATCATACAGTCAAATTGATTCAAAGTTTTCTATCTAAGGAGAACCAGCTGGTTGCATCGACTCATTGACTCAAATACAATCCCTCACACTAAGCATGCTTGTAGCGACAGTGGAGAGGAAAAACTCCCTTTTAGCAGGAAGAAACCTCCAGCAGAACCAGGCTCAGTGTGAGCGGCCATCTGCCGAGGCCGACTGGGGTTCAAGAAGGCAAAAAAGATTTTAAAAAAGCAACAGTAAAAGGCGGCCCCATCCAGGAAACCCACAGCCAGGCAGACAAGCTCTGAGCCAACTCCCATGACTCAAAGTCAGAGAAACAGCACTACACTGAAAAACAGGCTGATCTCCAACATATATAAACAAAGGTGTTGATGGCAGCTGATATTTCTCTCCAGGATGGTGTCGCAGCCAAACGTTCTAACATTCAAGGGTTGGAGATAATGTTGTTGCTTTAGTTAAGGGTTTCTTTTGGTACAAATTCAATAAACTTTAATCCACGATGTTGAGTTTAATAATAGAATTACACATACCGTAGATGATCATCTTCCCACCTTCTTTGTTTTTAGGGCAACAAAGTCAATCGGACCAAATTCAGATCCACATTTCTTAGATTTTCAAGCAATTAAAAAAGGATCTTGCTCTATTTTGTATTTATGTTTTACGGTATGTTGTTCTGTCACATAAAATCCCAGTAAAATATGTTAAGTTCGTAACAGAGACAAAGTTTTAGAAGTTTGAAGACTTTAGCAGGTTGCTATACTGAAAATGTTGTTCAGTCTTAAGTTAGTTTCAAAAACTTCTCTCTATAAAAAAAAAAAACAGAAATCTGTTTTCTTCCACCTTACATCAAACAGCAAAGACTATGTTTTATTTAAACAATTTGTTTTCAATTTTAGTCTTCCAAGTGAACTGTTTAATGTAATAGTTGCATTTAAAAAATTAGTACTTTTACTATTAAAGGAATATGTGAGTTTTACTTTTTATGAATGCCATTTATCTTATTTAATTCATATGCAATAGGTCATTAAAATTTTGTTAAAGATTAAGATTAAGGTAAAAACACCTTCAGTGCATGTGGTGTGCAGAATTGAGTGGTTTCCGGTTTAGAAAATCTATGGAGTTTTATTGCTGCGTGCTGAACAGACAGAGAACCGATCATGTTTCCATCTCACCTCTCCTGTTCTCGCTATCGCTCTCGTAGCTTCCGTTTTCCTTCCCTTCCTTCTGGCTTCCCAGTCCAGGGATGTCTGCATTGGGGTGAGTCCAGCCTGCAAAGCTCAGAGGAACCTCCTGGGCTGTAGCCTCCCCTCTGCAGAACAGGGCAACCTGGGAGATGCCGTGCCCTAAAAGTAACACCCAGCCATTTGTTACCAAGGCGATGCTCAGCACAGGGTCATCCCAGACTGGCTGTTTGTTCACCTCCTCGTTTCCCCTAGTGAGCATTGCGATCCACACCACCCATATGCAGGCGGAAAGCACCAGGGTGACGCAGAGCGCGACTGCTTGCGGCTTCCACTGCTGGTTGGTGGGGCCCGTGTAGCTGTAGGTGTACGTGAAGCAGGAGCGGCACAGGATTTTCAGGGACAGGATTAGACTGATCAATAAGAGGCACAGCACATAGATCTGCAGCATGGCAAACTCCGCCTGGCTGTACTCGCAGGGGTTCTTGTCCCGAACCAGGACGATGATGAGCCACTGTGTAGAGATGATAACCTGCACGACGAAGAGCCCCAAGGCCACGCCTGGTTCCCCCCAGCTTCGGGCGGCTGCAAAACCCAGCATTGCAAGGCAGCGAGCCAGCAGGCAGGAGAAGGCCAGAGAGAAGAGCACCCCAAAGAGGAAGATCCTGGTGGGGCAGGTCTGGGGGTTGTGCTTGATGATGAAGGAGAAGGTGATGGCGAAGATGCCGGCTGTGGCAAACAGAAACATGGACATGGAGAGGACTGTTCCCCCGACTGTGCTGCCGCTGCGGTTCGGGGAAGATAGGAACCTGCACAGCGCCCAGAACAGCAGGCCTAAAAGAAGACCTATACTTAGCAGGAAGCCTGCAGAGGCCAGAGTCTCCAGAATGATCCCCCAGGCTGCCCGGCGATCACACAGGTAGCTATAGTCTGGATGGAGTCCATCTCCACAGCCTCGCACCTTCGGATAAGTGGCGTTTGAGGGAGTGGTTGGGCTGCTGGTGCTGTTGGTTTGGGTCTGGGATAGGCAGGCGAGAGGGGAATAGAGAAGGAACAGAATGGGGAGGAAAGAAGTGGGCTTTGTGGTTGAAAAAGCCATAATGACTTTACAATCCACAGTGGGGTTCAGCCTTAGTGGATAAACTCTCCCCTGATGTGGCAGCTTGTTCCTGCAACACAGAGAACCATCAGACACCAAAAGGCTGACGTGACATAACAGAGTCTGCAGCATAGAAGAGAGCAAAGAGGTTTCTCAGTCAAAGTGCAGGAACAGGGAGTGTGCAAACATGCCAGAACACAGCAGAAGGGTAAGCGAGCGCAGGACTAAAGCAGAATGGAGTGAAGGCTGAGCAGAAAGCAACAAATAAAGCAGCCAACAAATCCTCACAATTCAGAATCTTTCCTTTAGGAAAGACGTTATTAATCATAACTACGGATTATGTTGCTTTTGTTCTTAGGTGTCTACGTTAAAGGTTCTCCACACATTTGACCTCTAATATAGTTTAGGGAGTGCGTAATCTTGCACTGGGAAAACCACATAGCAATAAGTAAAAATTTCTTAAACTAAGTGTATTTACCCGTAATTTGAGTAGGTAAAGGAGACAGTTTGCCAGTGGAATGAATATTTTTACTCTTAAATAAGATAATTAGATAATATGCACTTAAAATAAAACAATGCAATTGTGTTTTCTTATTTTAAGTGTAAATTATCTTATTCCTTTGGCAACATGTCTCTTTTACATCCTCAATTCAAAAAAAGAAAAATTACTTATCTAGATTTCAAATTTTTCCATTTTTTACAGTGTTGTGATCTTTTCTACCGGAGTGCCTCAAGGCTCTGTTCTCGGACCCACGCTATTTTCCATCTGCATGATTCAAATCTCTTCTCATAGCTCTAATTTACACCCAGTTAAATCTACAAAAATATTTTCTTGTTCCTCTGCTTCCTCAACTTGATGAAACTAAAACATGTAAGTATTGAAATTAATCACTGTGATGATGATAAACCAGATATAATTATATTTGTTCATAGCAGGACCTGCTAGATGCCTGCTTCAGATCTGGGTAAAATTACAAGTCTTAAATGTTGTGATATTTATTAGTGATGTTTATCTTAGAGTGTAGTTTACTGATAAAGATAATCTTTAATTGAGGCTTTTATCAAAAGGTTATCATGTTTTAGTGCTCAACTTTAACAATTATGTAGAGATTTAGTTAAAAAATGTCTCCTTATCAATCTACTACAAAATACAGGAGCTTATCTGTAAACACCAAAAGATACCTGCCTCTATTTGTTTGCTCGCTGCCCATAAAAGAAACTTAAAGATTTTAAAGCTGGCCAATTCTGTTTAATAGATTTTTTCTGCTACATGTATGCATGTACTGTGCATACAAGGCTGGAACTGGAAGATGAGCAGTCCTGATATGCAGGTATAACTTCCGTCAGCTCAAAGTGGAGCCTTTGTTTCTCTGTCAGAGGATCAAAAATTATCTTTATGTCATTTTAATCCGAGGCAAATCTGAATTTTAGCCTGATGCTCGCCTTTTATTATCTACTCGTGTGAAACAAAGGTGGTAAAAATATTATTTCTGTATCCTGATGGAAGCTTGGAGAGTTTATTTCAACAGGAAATCTTTTTTTTTTGTTCAAGTTATTGTTAGTGTGCGGAAAATAACATCAGTAAATCAGCAGAGATAGATTCATGCTTTTATCTCATTCCAGACAAACAATAAACCTTTACTGAAGATCTCCTAAACTTCTTTTTTATTAAAGTGCTGAGAAGGGATTGCTGTTTAAATCATAAAACATTTGTAATAAAAAGACTCTTACCCTTTTGTTCCTCCAGATGCAGCTTTGAGCTCCTAAAAACCTAGAGTTGGGTGTGTAATTCCTCAGTGTGCAGCCATGCAGCTCTTATCTAGCCTGTGTGCTCATAGGTCTGCCAATTCCGAGTGAAACAAAGGTAGTGAGGTCATACAATTCCCGCTTGAAAGATTGTTTTCCCTTCACAGCAACAGAAAACAGAACGCTACACCCAGACTCATCCCTTCCTCTCTTACCTGCTCCGCTTTGGTCCCTCCCTCAGATTCCAGGTGTGCTCATGCATCTGAGAGCTGCGATGGCTGCAGAGTCCCACCTCTAGATCTGAATCCCATTTCCCGTCAGCATTTGCATCCCATTTGCTGATGGCGCTGGCACTCAATCTGGATTAACCAGAGAGTCTGAAGCGGGTGTCGAAATCAAACTCAGGAGGGTTTAGGAAATTACAGAGAGGAACGACTTTAAGGTGAGTCCGACTGACTCATCCCGATGTCACGGGGATACACAGCGTTGCCTGAGTTACTGGTGGATCACCAACACAACATTACAAATCAGTTAGCTTGCCTCGGGGTGAGTTGCACTACGTCTAGAGAACACTTTAAGACTGTTGTCTCTCACAGGTCCTTACAAAACACTGCAACTCATGCCTGTACAAGTACGGCAATCATACGCTCAGGGTGTGTTGCACTCAGTTTGAAGTCACTCTTTAATGCCAGAAAAGCATTTGGGAATGCTGGGAAATATCTGCTATTAGGTGAAAATATCAGTATCAGGGCATTCAGATGGTTAGACCTGAAACCATGGAGCCATCCAGGGTCACTTTCCCAACTGAGCTTCCTTTAAATGCCAAAGCATAGAAGAGCTGCTGACTATATTCACCTGTCGCCGTGCATGCACTGTAATTACTGCTTTCTGCAGGGCAACCTGCACTCTACCAAGTAATTATGATCAAAGACTGTCATTTTGTACATTACAGAAACAGCCTGTTCAGTGATTTCACTTCATAACAGCGTGAGGATGTGGTGAGATGGATCATTGTATGTTCTTTAAATGAGCTGTTTAAAGATAACACATTGTGTGCAATAGTTCTGTTCATATTACTGAGTGGTATTTAAACCGTCACATTTACTCCACCATGATATGAGCACTAATGCACAAACGATCACATTAACTCACCTTAAAACAGAGTGTACATAAAGCACACACAGGCCTTCTAACCAGCCCAAAACCATAGTGGCACAGGGTGTAACACAACTGTTAACCACTAAGTAGCATTTATTTTATAATGAACACTTTCCTTTTATTGAAGGAAAGCAATAACATAGTTAATAGAATCTGCAGTTTGCTTGTCGCCATGGAGTTGGATTTGATGATGCCATCATACACCTGCTTCACCAAACCCAGTCATTTAGACAATGCAGACAGCACTGTGAGGATTTGTGTTCTTTGATTTCTCCGATGGATTTAACACATTCAGCCTGAGTTACTGTGTGAGAAACTCCAGAAGACTCATCAACGATCACCTGGATCAAAGACTACCTAATAAACAGACCCCAGTTTGTTAGATTGAAGGGTCAACTGACTAATCAAGTAGCAGCAAGCACAGGAGAAGCAGAGGGGACGGTACTCTCTTCATTTCTCATTACTCACTGACTTCCAAGACCAGACAGAGTCCTGCCATCTGCAGAAATGCTCAGATGACTCTATCATTGAGTGCATAAGAGATGGACAATAGGTTGAATACATAGAGCTGGTGAACCGCTATGTGGCATAGTATGGAAACAATCATCTCACCCTAAATGTCAACAGAACAAGTAAGATGATTGTAGATTTCAGAAGAAATTCAGGTGTGGACTGGAGACACAACTGTGAACCTTTCCATAAGAAACGACAGAGAAGACTGTACTTCCTAAGGAAGCTTAGGTCCTTCAGTGTTTGCAGCAAAATGCTAAATATCTTCTAAAAGTCTGTGGAGAGGGCGATGGCTCCCTCCGACTTCTTCTAGGGTAACAGCATCAGAGATAGACTTAGATAAGCTAGAAAAGCTAATAAAGAAGGCCAATTCTGTTATAGAAATTATTCTAGAACCTCTGGAGATTATTTCAAAAAGACAAATTCTTCATAAAGTGAAGAAAATTATGGAGAACAGTGTCTTAAATGAGAGGCTTCTCCATATTATGTGCAAGAAAGGCTTACAGCCTACAGCTATCAATATTTATAACAATTAGATTAAAAAAAAGGGAGAAAAAAGCAAAGACAGCCTCTCTGAGTTACTACAATTTAACTTCCCTCAGTAACGTAATCTTAATAAAATATTTCAACATTGGATTCTCCCCCCAACTATGTAATGTAACTCAGCTTTGCCTGCTTGTAAAACAAAAACATTTTTTCTTTATTTATTATTATTATTTTATTTAAATTTTTTTTTCTCTGTGGTACGAGTGGGGGCACTAGGGAGGGAAGGCATGATTGAGATGGTGTGTTTTTTTTTTTTTTTTTCCTTTTTTTTTCTCCCAGGTTGGGGTCTCAACCGCACCCTCTCCCAAATACATCTCAAGTCTCCGCTAAGTGCGGAGCCCATTCCCCCCGTCCTGCTCTCCCTCTGCTGGCTGGCGTCGGGGCTCACCGGTGCACTGGTGGAGCTCGGGGTCTGGGGGTGGATGCCCGGGGGGCTGCTGGCTCATTCCTGGCGGCCTCTCCGCTGGCCCCGGCCGGCCGGGGCTTTGCTGGGGCTCCTGTCTGGGGGTCGGGCGCCCTTGGGGCCTCGGATTCCTGGGGCCCGGGACTGGATCCACTTCGGGGTGGGGCTGGGTGTTGTTCAGGGATCTTCGGTGTCGGTGCCGGTGCCTTCGCTACGATGCCGGTTCCTGGGCATCGTAGCAAATTTATGTTCGAATATTTTTGCTGAATATTCGAACATAAATTTGCCAAATATAAGAGGAACATCATAGTTTGGTTTAAAGAAAGCATTTTAGTTTTATTATAAATTAGTTTGTTGCAACAATTTTACAGTTTGTAGAAATAGAAAATGACACCATATGCCAACCGTCACAAGGATGTGAATGACAAGGAAGGGCTATATATCATCTAAATGATACCATGCATCATTTAGACCGTTAACATTGTATTACTTCTTTAGCTGCTTCAACTATTTACTGTCACAGGTAGTTGCTTCGGCCAGAAAGTAGGTGTTCGGGCCGGTATGATTTAAGGGTCGGCCCTCGCACGCTGAAATTAGGACCGGCCCACCACAGATTACCAGTCCCAGCCTGTGCGCAAATACAACATTTTCCCAACAAGTTCTATGCAGATTAAGGACCCAGACATACAGGGACATGAAACATAAGAATGGTAATCTCTGCACAGGGGCTGACCAGCTGCAGCTCATCTCAGGCAGACCAGAAATGGCTCTTTAACAGGGAGAACATGTAAGGTAAATAAAATCCCATTATTGTCCCACAATGGGGAAATTCACTCTCTGTATTTAAGCCATCCCCTTGGAGAGCATTGGACTGCCATTGTGTGGCGCCCACGGAGCAGTCTGGGGCTAAGGGTTTTGCTCAGGATCTCAGCTTGGAGGCTGTAGGAATTCAACCAGGAACTTGCAACCTTCTCAGAGCACATTGCTCTAAGCCACTAGGCCAAACCTCTCCAATTAGAACAAAACATGTGCTGTAACACAATGTTTTGTTAGGTTTTGTCGCACTTAGATCTTTTCAGATCATTAAAATGCATACACCTCCTAAAAAGCTAACCAGATCTGTCCAAACCAGTTTGCACCCAATGATTAACTACACTGCAAAAAATATAAATCTAACTAAGTCATTTTTTCTTAAAATAGGTGCATTTGTTTCTTGAATTGAGGGGGAATGGGAGATACTTTGCCAGTGGAACAAGGAAATTTACATTTAAAATAAGAAAAAAAAATGCATTGTCTCATTTCAAGTCCATATTATCTAATTATTTTATATTAAGAGTAAAAATACTCATTCCATTGGGAAAAAATCGTATTTACCTGCTCAAATTAAGGGTAAATACACTTGATTTAACATATTTAATTTCTAGATCGTTTTTGCAGTGTATGTCACCCCTAAGTCAAAAAAATACGGGAAAAAAAATTTATTACAGTTTTTTCTGATTGCTTAAGCACATTTTTTTGTGACTATTGGCTATATTTGCAAAACTCTACACACAAAAAAGAAAACCTTTCACCCAATTATCAAAACATTGCAGTTCTCTTGCAAAAGCGAACACAGCTAGATTAACTCTTCACACCTTTGTAAAAATTGTGTTTTCGTATCAAACAGTAAACACAAGCCATCATCTACTAAGCACACAATGTGCCAACTACACACTAATGGTATGAATACAAACCACATCTGGCTTTCTCTTTCTCTGTGTACAGATGTCAATTTGAGGTCATACTTTTGTCATAGTGTCATGTAAACATACAAGGATCCAAATTTCAAGTATTGCTATTTATTCACACTCATCAAAACCAAGACAAAGTCTGAACTCAAAATAGTAATTTCACAAAAACCAAACAAAAAAACAATCAGCCTACATCATGTCGTCTTTCTGGGTCTGGCCACAAAATTTCGTCCACATCGCATGCAACATTCTCCAGTCCAAGGCACCAGGGAAAATATCTCCTTGAATTCCGTATCCAGGCCTGACATGATGCCTGGTCAATATCTCCACATGCCTCCTCCATTGTCTGTAAAAGGGCTACCTGTTGATGAGGATAACATTGTCCCATATGATGACATATCGGGTACTGTATGCTCTGGTCTCTGAACAGTGAGCATGTCATGTAAGGTGTCCAGAAATGCAATAACGTGTGCAGTGTTATATGGGCCTATGGTTGTATGATGGTGAACAACACCATTTTGGCTTATAGCTAACTCTGTAAGTTTGTTTCATTCTTATTCTGTGGCGTGCAAGTACACAACTTCATGAAGAAATGCTTATTGCCTATTTTGAAAGATGGTGTCATTATCAAATATTATTATTTATAGTGCTTAGGCTGATTGCAAAGTGAACTAATTATCTAAAACAGTTTTCACATGTAAAAGTGTGCCAGACAGTTGGCAAAATAGTGTTAATGATAGCCATACATGTGTATAATTTTGCTAGGAGTGTGTTGGAAATTTGGTAACAGAGTGTTGTGCAGTGAATTGTGCCTACAGTTTTGCAAAATGTGTATTACAAAATTGCAAACTGAGTACAATGCAGTGTTTGTGCTTTTAGTTTCGCAAACTCAGTGAGTGGTTTTGCTATACGTATCAATAGTTTTAGAAATTGTGCTACAAGAATCACGATTAGTGCTTAAGCATTCAGAAAAAACTGTAATCGGAGTTTTGTAGTGACTTTACAAGTAGGTATTTATATTTTCACACACCACCACATGCTGAGATGGCTTTTGCAATAAACAAGCATTTTTGGTAATCAAGATTTCTGAAGCCATTTTCGAAATAAAAAGAAAATTAAATTAAGTTTATTT